AATGCGTTTTACAAATAACTAGGTTTGACGTTAAGTCGCTGCGGCTCGGTCGCCCTGGCTTACAGCACCGATCAATTGATACCATGATTAGAAACGTCATCTCGGGAGGCATCTGTCATGGACAATAGCAATGGCAGGGGCTTAGACAGGCCACTCACTCTCGATCGATAAATCATGATCAGAACTAGGTATCACAGCGCTCGGAGGGGTCAACATGTACAGAGCATTTTGCTTCGTTGTTTAGGTGAGTGAACCAGTTCTTCACCTGCCACTAGCCAGTGTGGAGCGGTTACTGGAGCTTGTGTACGTAACCTCAATGTCTTCACCTAATTCGAGACTCAAGGTCTATTTCTAAATTATCTGGAGTAACTACAGTCCCGCCCAAATAAATATATTAGGCAGGGTGAGTTATGCGGGCTCACAAAAATGCCCTACACCAGTAATAGTTTTTCCTAACTGTCCATACATTGCACGGCCCACTAAACGAATGTAAAACGACAATAAACATTAAACAAGCTAGCTTAGTCATGCTAATTCCTTTTTATTAATGATTTTAATTATCACACCATTAAAATACCCTTAAATTTTATAATAAGTATGTAAAAATTAAATGTTTTTTTCTATAGACATTTCATTAATGTCTTTGAGAGCACTAGTAGCTGGGACGAAAATGGCCCATGTAATTTGGGTGAAGACAATTAAAAGCAGAACATAATGTAAAAATATGATTGCTGAATCGTACGTAGGGCAAAATTAATTGCTTCATTACCACATTCGCTCCGACTCATCAGTAATGTGTGCTCTAATAACTTTGTAATTGTCTTACATTTCTTCGTCTATATCGTAACAGTGGTGTAAAGTGAAAACCAAACAGGCGTCTTCTGGATGGATAATACTTACTCTTATTGGGAATTGACTGAGTGACTGAGTGAGTGATTGAATTGTGAGATTTCTGCTCCGAAGCATTGTGGCGTGAACGGCACAATAGATTTAATCCCTGTGCAATTGAATGTCTGGACATTTACATCGCAGGTTTTTCAATGCTGCAAGTGGGAAGAAGGCCGGGTAACACAGGGCACACTCCACATGAGACCATCGATCGTAGATTCATTTGTATTAAAATAATAGTTAGAACTGAAGAAGAGCATTTAATGATCAACATCACTAGTCTACTGACGTACGTCGTTGGACGCAGCCCTCCTCCAAAGTTCGCCATAACGACCAGTCCTTCGCTACTCTCATTCAGCGGATTCCTGCATTCTTCTACAGATCTTCAGCCGTCCACGGCTTGCGGTACGCAGGATAAGCTTGGTAACCGACATAGTCCAGAGGAATGCGAAGTTGAAGTGAACTCTTGAAGAGTCGAGCGCGCACTTAAAGGCGCTTTTAATGATAATATTAGAAAATCTCGCTTCAGTCCCAAATCGTTGCTAGCCAACTAGCCAAAATTTCTACCGTGAAGCAGTAAAGTGTTTCGGTTTGAAGGGGCAGCCGTTGTACTGACAAAAACTTCCTTTATTCTTAGGTTAAACTGACCCCGAACCGAATATATTATATATTTCTCACAAATCATTGACTTCTTAATGAGATTGAGCAATTTATTTCATGATTATAAAACAAAATATTTTAGAGACTATTAATCCTTCATAATGCAATCAAAAATGTATTTTACGTTAGCAGACGCGTAATAGACAACCTGGTTTCATACGCAATCGTCTTTGAGGTCATTAACATTGCCAAAGAGCTGTCAACCGTGAAGCACTTGTGAAGCGACAGATGTCAGTCATATGTATGATAGTAATAATAATAACTGGAAACAAATCACGCATGGTCATCCGCCCCCAATTTAGGGTTCCATGTGTGTGGGTACCAGAGACTGACAAACATACTTTTATTACTTTTAAATATATAGAAATACTAGCTTTTGCCCGCGAGTCCGTCCGCGTAGTTACTTTGGCATAACGCTAAATTTTACCCCCCACTTCATTTACCTAGAAGGTGAAAATATATTTTAAACATTCTTTATTGGTGCTCCAGTTGTATTGGTCTTACAGTGATGTTGTATAGCAAATTGGACCAGTAGTTCCTGAGATTAGCGCGTTCAAACAAACAATATATATTAGTATAGAGTATAGATAGATAATACACATCCGGACAAAGAGAAAACAAATCTGTTCAACACACAATATTTGCCCGATGTGGGATCGAACCCACGACCCTCGGCACAACCGTCTAGGCCGCTAACCACTGCCCCACCGAGTGAGTCAAATGTATGAACCGGAACATCATACAATTACGCAATATGTCCGTCTCTGTTATTCGAAATAGTACGCGATTTTCCCATAAGCTCTGTAGAATTATTATAGTATACCTTATTACATTATGGCCTTAAGTGTATGTGTACCATTTAAATAGTTTTTGACATTACAGTAGGTACATTGTGAGCATTGTTGAGGCATAGGTCAATTTTTGTTGTCACAATTGAACCGAAGTTGATTGCTCCAAAATAAACCACTCATACCAATCTGGTATACTGGGCAGTTTCCACCACGATATAATAACCCGACTTGTGTAATTTCATAACACCGTATCGAGGGATGAAATACTATTTGGTTTAAGCGACATTTCGAATAATTTATTTTTGTAATTAAAGGTGCGGTTTATTTGGTATTAGCATCAATAGTTCAATATTTTTAATTTTTTTTATTGCTTAGATGGGTGGACGAGCTCACAGCCCACCTGGTGTTAAGTGGTTACTGAAGACCATAGACATCTTCAATGTAAATGCGTCACCCGCCTTGAGATATAAGTTCTAAGGTCTCAATATAGTTACAACGGCTGCCCAACCCTTCAAATCGAAACGCATTACTGCTTCACGGCAGATATAAGCGGGGTGGTGGTACCCACCCGTGCGGTCTCACAAGAGGTCCTACCACCAGTAATAACGCAAATTATAATTTTGCGGGTTTCATTTTTATTACACGATGATATTCCTTCACCGTGAAAATCAATCGTGAACATTTGTCAAGTACGTATTTCATTAAAAAAATTGGCTGGAGCCTACGGGATAGGCCTCCCCCAAAGCTCGCCACTGAACCCGATCTTCGGTTCCACGCATCCAGTTACTGCCAGCTGCCTTGCGCATATCGTTGCTNCGCAAATTATAATTTTGCGGGTTTCATTTTTATTACACGATGATATTCCTTCACCGTGAAAATCAATCGTGAACATTTGTCAAGTACGTATTTCATTAAAAAAATTGGCTGGAGCCTACGGGATAGGCCTCCCCCAAAGCTCGCCACTGAACCCGATCTTCGGTTCCACGCATCCAGTTACTGCCAGCTGCCTTGCGCAGGTCGTCGCTCCATCTAGCAGGAGGGCGTCCTATACTACGTTTTTTAAGTTTACTCTATTTAAATAGCTGAAGAAGTTTTTACAATTACTCATTTTTAAGATAAGCGCAACCCTATTTAGTATCCACACGCCCGACGGGGCCGTTCAAAAGTTAATTTACATAAAATACGAGTATGTGGAGAGGCCGGGTGTGTCCGCTGACACACGACTACATATATGTACACGTGCGTCCCAAATAATACAACTTGACATGACGTGGCGTGCTCTACAATATCGCTTCTATACGACTTTCAATTATTTATTTGCCAGGGACTGATAGATACAAAGCTAGTCTCCAATATCTCATGCGAATTTCACGTGCGAATACCTCATATGATTCAATGTCCTCGTGCTTTGATCCATTAACGGTGCTTTTAGGCACCACGAGCACCGGTCACCGCCTCGTCGAACCCGTCGCTTGCGACGAATGGCTCGACTAACGAATTAACCCATAGACACAGCCCACTGAGTTTCTCGCCGGATCTTCTCAGTGGGTCGCGTTTCCGATTCGGTGGTAGATTCTGCGAAGTACTGCCGTTGCTGGGGTTAGTGTTAGCAAATTCTCTCAGGCTAGAATAGCCTCTTAGGCTACCAGCTAATATAATAGGTAGGTGGAAAAAATATTCAACATGTCCTCGAAGCGATTCTCTTCAATCGATTGTAGAACTAGAAGACGTGTGAAAACCCTACGTGATGAAAAATATTATAGTCACCACTTAATTCGGATTTCAAAAGAAAATTTAGAACGGCTACATCTATACATATAAATAAAATTGGAGTGTCTGTTTGTAATATTGAAATAGCTTCTTTTTACTACATGCATATGAATATAGGTATATACGGTACGGTATATACACCAAAATAACATTTTTTAGAATTTTTGTCTGTCTGTTTGTTCCGGCTAATCTCTGGAACGGCTGGACCGATTTTGACAGGACATTCACTGATAGGTAGCTGATGATATAAAGAGTAACTTAAGCTACTTTTTTTAGACTAACTTCGCCCCGCAGCTTCTCCCTCGGTACGACAATGACCGCGGGTAACATCGCGGGACTCAACTATCAATAATAAAATTTAATGTTTCCGAAGCGAAGCGAGGGTATGTCGCTAGTTAATTATAAAACGAATACATTTTTAATTTATTAGTAGTTAATTTAATTTCCTGACCCCATCTTATACAACAGTCATGCCATCCAGCTTGAGGGGTGGTAAGTAATTCTTTTGAGACTCCGACTATATGTCACACGGTAAGTAGTGGCGTTCCGCTCCGATATTTATGGGAGCCGTTTAACTACAGATGGGCTGTGAGCTCGTTTGTCTTTCTACTAGTAAATCAGAATACTCTCTAATGTAAGTGATAGCGTATGACGAGGATCTTTAAATGGTTCACTGCTGTCTATTATAATTAAAATACTATTTGCGTTTAAAAGTGCTTAGTTTCTTGATCCTATGTATTCTGTATATCTTAATGATACATTTGTATTCTAATCTAATCTTAATGTTACCATTACCTTTTCCTATGGAATATCAAAAAGTAATACCAACACAAATACTTAAAAAGTTTATTTACAAAAATAAATAAAATAAACGTACGAACTAAGTATGTTAATAAATTAGTACTTAAATTAAATATTAGGCAATATTAATGAACGTGAGAAATAATGTATCGAATCAAGAAATGCAATATCTATGTGTATCGTTACGTCATTTCCGTTCACGTGTAACGATACAAGATATTAAATTTCCGTTCGTTTTCACTCGTATTGTATCACATGAGAAGTTGTTACCGGAATTTGTCCAAAGGTCTGTCAATAGGAGGCTGGAGGCCCAAGGGAATATGGTTGTGGAATTTCTGAGGATCCTCAGATCCATCAGCTCCTTCAGAGCTCCTTCCTTCAGCTTGGGGTACACCATAGTCTGCCGAAGGCTGATGCTGGAAGTTAAAATCTTGACCGTGTTGAGAAAAATCTTGATTGGACTGCCCGAAGTTCTGCTGAGGCACCCCGTACTCCTGTCCTATTTGGTGATTGTAGTTCTGTTCGTACTGGGCCTGATCGATTTGAGTCTGGATGTGGTTTTGAAGTTGGTGTTGGTAGTCATGGTACTGGTCTTCTCCCACGTGGTTCTCGAACACTTGGTGGCCTTGCTCTTGAGTAAATTGATGCTGGCCGTCTTGGGGATACTGAGCGTTAGGCTGCTGTCCTTGGTTGATGTCATGAGGCTGGGTCTGGACCGGATTCCAACCGTCGTGATCTGGCTGAGCTGGCTGGAAGCTTACTCCTGGTTGCACCGAATTAAAATTAAAACCGGGTTGTGCGTGTTGCAGCACACCTGGTTGCAGTGGTTGCACGTTCAGGTCAGTTTGACCTTGAACTCCAGGTTGTTGTTGAAAGTGTACGTCTTGCTGCCCGTGGTGTAAGTGTACGTCAGTATATCCAGGCTGCAAGTGGAGTTCCGGCTGTCCGGGATGTGCTGCGGGCTGTCCTTGCTGAAAGTGTACCTCGGGATGTGCATGCTGGAAGTGAATGTCATGTTGGTCTGGTTGGAAATGCACTTCTGGTTGACCAGCGATGTTGAAATGTACTTCTTGTTGACCTTGATGCAGATGAATATCTGGATGATTTGGTTGCAGATGAATGTCTGGATGACCTGGTTGTAGATGAATGTGTGGTTGTCCAGGATTGAAGTGTAGCTCAGGTTGAGCTGGATGAACGTGTAGTCCAGGCTGACCTTGTAAGTGTATAGCGGGCTGTGCGGTATGTAATTGAACTTCATGCTGTCCTGAGTGTAAATGAACTTCTTGTTGTCCGGGGTGTAAATGGACTTCTTGTTGTCCAGGGTGTAAATGAACTTCTTGCTGTCCGGGGTGTAAATGAACTTCTTGCTGTCCGGGGTGTAAGTGAACTTCTTGTTGGCCAGGATGAACTTGGAAGTTCGGTTGAGGCAAACCTATTTGCGTCTGATGTAAAAATGTTTGATGCTCAATGGGAACTGCTGGTGCTTGAGGCTCTATTACTACTCCATCTTGAACTCCAGCTTGAGGTACGTAATGAAGATGGGGAGCTTGCGGACGGTCAAACAATACTGGTCCGAGAGCCGCCTGTGGAGCTATTGGCACAAGTGGAGCTTGATAATTATATGCATATCGGGGATAAGTGGCGAAAAATGAAGTTTGAACTGAATTACCAGGTCGAAGGATGTATGGGATTTGAGAATACGCGGGGCCAACAACTGATGCTGGTTGAAGCTGTGCTGGAGCAGCTGGTAGCACTGGTCTAAAGTGAAAATGTTCCTGCGCAAAACTTGGAACTGCAGGAGCAACGGGGACTGGATGTGCATGAGGTATAGGTGCTGGTACTATTGGAGTAGGTTGGATCACCGTGGCCGGAGGTGGTGCTGGTATAGGTTGGGCTATAGTAGCTGTGGGGTGAGGTACTGGCAATANTGCTGGTTGAAGCTGTGCTGGAGCAGCTGGTAGCACTGGTCTAAAGTGAAAATGTTCCTGCGCAAAACTTGGAACTGCAGGAGCAACGGGGACTGGATGTGCATGAGGTATAGGTGCTGGTACTATTGGAGTAGGTTGGATCACCGTGGCCGGAGGTGGTGCTGGTATAGGTTGGGCTATAGTAGCTGTGGGGTGAGGTACTGGCAATAAAGGAGTAACAGGCACAGGAGCGGAATGCACTACCGGGACTATGGGTCTGGGCTCAACATGGTGATGATGGTGATGGAAGTGATGATCAGGTTTTGGTAGTAGCACTGTTTTGGAGTGATGAGGAAATCTAGCCGCATAATGAGGGTGAGCCACTGGCAGTTTATGGCCAATGTGCGGAAAACGAGGAATAGGTACTTTGACAGCTGTGACGGCTGCAGTAGGTGGGTATGAGACTACCAGCGGCTTCAGCACGGAATGCGTCACAACCGGAATATCATGTCCGAGCTTGTAAGGAGGAATAGCGGAAAGTATTCCACGTTTGTGATGCTTGGTCTTCGCTGCGATCCGCCCAATGATCTTCGCCTTGGTCGCCTTGATGTGGGCGACGTCACTCGTCGACACCCACGCGCACGCGCACAACACCAGCAAGATCTGAAATCCACGCACCATTTTAGTAAAACACAATCACTATATCACTCTCACTTCACTGTTCCGTACTTACAGGAGCGAGTCTCATGTCGACGGTGTCGGTCGGTTGGCGCGACTTCCACTCTGATACCGACTGCCACGAGGGACCGTCACCTATACTTATAACTTAGAATATAAGGCATTAGTATGTAGCCCGCGTAGGAGTTTCACTCGGGGTAGCCGGACGCCGCAAACTCCGTCCTCACACGCTAATGCTTTCGAGTGCTCCTAAATGTATGCATCCATATTGCTTCCGAATTCGGTCCGCGCTAATATAGGCTGTAAGCCGAATGTAACAAGGACGCTATTCGTAAAACTAATCAATCGAAGTCTGGCTGCCGTCATTCCTGTAACCGTGGTGTGGCCGGGCATACTAAGCGTGGTTCGCACGTAATAGAGAGAAAATTGTACCAGTAGGCAGGGCCGCAGTCAGAGCTTCACTTTTACTTTCATTAAAATTTACACACATATTTTTATTAACAGCTAAGTTGTGTATACTAGTCGATCTGCTTAATGTAAGCGTTCACTAGAGTCTATTTCAGGATTTCCTTCTTGATACTAAATCTGACCTGCGTTCTACCCACACCAGAGCGCGTGATTAGCTTCTAGAACTAGACAAGGAAGTGGTTGTCCATTGCTGTAGGTTAGCAATATATCCTGCCAGTGGTACTAAGACATAACTGAAATAGATGAGTTTAGGTACCAATTGTTTTGTAAGTAGCTATGTGTTTAACAGGTGTTCACGTCTTATTGCGAAGATTATAACGAGCTAACGGCTCACCTAGTGTTAAGTGACACCGGAGACCATTGAAGGCGCAATACAAATGGCACCACCACCAAAAATCTTAGTTCTTAGTTATACATAGGTCTTAAAGTTCAGTTGTAAAGTATATAATTCAAAATTCAAAATTCAAAATCATTTATTTCAACTTGGATGTCATCAAAAACACACTTGTTGAATGTCAAAATGTAAAAGAAAATGTTAACTCTACCACCGGTTCCAAAAAAAGCCACAGTCCTGAGAAGAACCGGCGAAACAAACTCAGAGGGCTTTTTTTTTTGGATATTCTCAAATATTTTCTTTTTTTTTTTTTTTAAACTAGGCTTCCCACCAGTAAAACCGAAATGTCTGATTCGCAGCAGAAATAAGAAGAGGCCTGATTGTGCCGGTTTACAATTACAACACACAAATATATTTTTGCAATTCATTTTTATTACCTTCATCTTAGTGCAAGTTATTCATGAGATAGGTTAAGTAAGTATTGTATTAGAAAAACTGATACTTGCAAAGGCGTCTCCAACCAATGTAGCGTCCATGTATTTATATTATTCTTTCTTCCTATTCGTACACTCTTGACGGAGTGGTCGTGGTCATGCATCAGTCGGATCCTGCGATACCGATGCTCTCGCGATGCGACGCCATGTGGCACGATGTTTCGCAGAGTGAGAGCAAACATTTATGTTGGAGTGAGTAACAGATTTTATGAGGTCGGTCCATCGTGTTGGAGATCGTCCGCGGGATCTTTTGCCCTCGACTTTCCCTTGCACCACCAACCGCTCAATGGAGTCCTATATTTATATATATATATTATAAGGTATAAGTAATGTATGTCGAAGCAAAAGTCACTATTAAAGGAACCGCTTGTAGAGCGTCTTGCTGGGCCTAACTCGATACATATTATTAGAGCTCGGGAAGCCATACAAAGTTGATGCAAGCCGGAACTCTTTTTACGCGGGCTTTAGGGACGCAGGTTCATTGATAATGTCGAGGGTGGTGCCCCCTAACACCGCCGCGCCCACATCCTGCATCATAGGTAAAGTCGCCGAGTACTCGCATCACCCGATACGAGTACCTACGGGACATCCTTTTATTTAATTTATATCCTTAACTTTTTTTTTTCTTAGATGAGTGGACAAGCTCACAGCCCACCTGGTGTTAAGTGGTTACTGGAGCCCATAGACATCCACAACGTTAATGCGCCACCCAACTTTTTTTTTTATTGCTTTGATGGGTGGACGAGCTCACAGCTCACCTGGTGTTAAGTTGTTACTGGAGCCTATAGACATCTACAACGCAAATGCGTCACTCACCTTGAGATATAAGTTCTAAGGTCTCAAGTATAGTTACAACGGCTGCTTCAAACCGAAACGCATTACTGCTTCACGGCAGAAATAGGCAGAGTGGTGGTACCCACCCGCGCGGACTCACAAGAGGTCCTACCACCAGTAAAAACCTATGAATACACATCATCTTAAAAGCGATCTCATCGAAACAGAAAAAGTAGATATATATGTATACTGTCCTAACGCAGGGCCTCATATTTAGTGATTCCAGGGCTGCCCTTGACACCTTATGCAATAGTGAGACAAGGCACCCTCTAGCAGTACCCGCACAAAATAACATAAGCCAGGCAACACAAGCAGGGAAAACAATCTCGCTATACTGGGTGAAGGCCCATGTGGGGATAGCAGGAAACGAGAGGGCGGATGAGCTCGCGAAATACGCCGCGCTACACTTGAAAACTAAACCAGTGTACGATAAATGCCCGGTCTCATTCATGAAGAGACAAATCCGAGAGGACACTCTCCATGAATGGAATCGGAGGTACACGGAGGGACCCACCGCATCCGGTACAAAAATATTTCTGCCCGACGTCTACATAGCCCAGAAATTTATAAAGTCAGAGAGCATAAACATGCACCTCACGCAAGTACTCACTGGGCACGGCGGGTTCTCGGAGTACTTGAATCGCTTCCGGTGCAAAGAGAGCCCGTCGTGTATTTGCGACCCGGACGTGGCGGAAACAGTCGTCCACTTAATTGTAGAGTGTCCGGTGCATTGTAGTGATCNCGTATAAACGAGCTTTTCCCGTTGCAAAAGCCCATAATTAATTTGCTAAGGTTAAGCCCGGCTTAATGTTCCGCACAATTTATGTTTAACACTCCATTCAACGTTTATTACTAACCGTTTTGTTTGAGTTCGGGTTCGTGTTGCATTTGTTTTTTTTTAATTGCTCAGGGCTGCCACGATTTTGGCAGTACAATGATTTAATTCGTGCCTATTATTGACTAGACCGACTTGGTGGTACAGTGATTAGCACCCCTGACTGTTACACCGAGGGTCATGAGTTGGATTCCTACATCGGGCAAACATTCGTGGGATAAGCGAGCTTGTTTGCTCTTTATCTGGATGTTTAATCTCTATATATTATATCGGAAAAAAGTGAAGAAATAAAATGTATAATAATAAGCATATAAGTAAAATATAAGGGAATTAAAGTATAAGTACAAGAAGGGAACAGAAACGAATATTATATAATTATGGAAAACGAAACATGAACCCAAAATTACAAATAAAAAAAAAAAAGATAATTGGAAAAATAGCAAAATAGCCTAAAAAATGTCCCTGACAATTACTCGTCAGGGGAACGCGCAATATATTATAAAAAAAAAAAAAAAAAACGCATGGCCTCTCTGACTCCGCTTCTGTTCAGAAGGACATTACAATGTGTATCACGTGTATCTATTACCAAATCGTCAGCGATCACTTTCGTGGGCTCTCACCGGGTGGGGTGTCGCCTGCCGGCCCTTGCGTAACTCTCATAACTCACACGAACTAGGTGAATCGGCGATTCTTGGCTAACAGATCAACGGTACACATTCGCAGCCCACCATAATGACACACGATTACGAAACTTAAGTGTAACGACACACTTAAATAACTTACGTACTGTAATTGAAAACAACATAAATGAACTATTTAATGGTTCGTATTAATTTGATCAAAATATGTTTTTTTAGTTGTTATCAAGGCGGTCCGGCTCCACCGCCCACCTGATATTAAGTGATTACTGACGCGGAAGCGGCCTAAAATCAGCTTTATTTCTATTATTCTTCTTCTTCGTGGCGGTTAGCAACAACACAAGCTTCAGATGCACAAAATTTGGTGGTTAGTCAATCAAGTTAGACGTGACGGGAACTGTGCTCATGTTTTAAACAGTTCAGCTATGGAACAAGATATGGGTATTTTCAAATGATGTCCAAAATTATGTGCTTTTTAAATTAACTTAATTATTTTAACTAAATTAACTTTTAAATTAAATAACATAACGTGAATCGACTGTCACGCGACAATATGGATGCGTATCGTGTCAGCTGTACGGGTAGATAAATCTTTCCATGTGCTTGCATTTATTAATTTAAAAGAAACAAAAACACTAAACGAGAAATTTGTGTTCGTTCTTCGACAGACATTTATAAATAGGCAAAGATTAACAATTTTAAGTACCTACCTATATTTTGTCCTGTCTTTGTCAACCTATTTTGGTTTTCTTTTTAGTTGAGTGATTTATGACGAGTGTTATAATTTAATGGCAATAGTCATGTTTTTTTCACTACCAAAACAAAAGAGTCAATTTTATGTAATTAACGGCCGTCTGGTGTAGTGGTAAGTGGCATGGTCACTACACAGGGGGGTCGCGGGTTCGAATCCCGCCAAGGGAAGATATTTGTATGATAAATATAAATGTCTTTGCCAGGGTTATGGATGTATATTAAATATATGTATGTGTTAAAAATATTACATTTATTTCCGTTATCTGGTACCTGTAACACAAGTTCTTTACGAACTTATCACGGGACCAGTTAACGTGGCGTGATTGTTAGTAAATATTTATTATTTATGTTGAATCTAAATTCGATGGTACTTGTCAGTAATTATTCGATGTAATGAAATGTATTAAATGAAAGTAAGAATTTCAATCATTGGGCGAACACTAGATAAAATAAAACAACGTTCAGTCTGCTCGACTGTCACATAGTTGTTAGGTTCCATAATATCTTAAGCATAAAACATAACATTGTCTCTGTCTAATGTGCGAGAGCACCGTATACAGAGAATGAGCGTACGGAACAGCTGTTTTTGTTTTGTTTTGTAGAATGAGTTTGATAACATTTTATTGATTTTTCACGTTTTGACAAAAATGGTTGACATAAATGTTTATAATAGCAATTTTTAAATGATTTACACGGTTAAATAATGGAAGATATTAATGAGAAAACGTGTAGAATATGTTTTCAAACCAAAGAAGTAGTATTTCCTTTGTTCGAAAAGCAAGCTGGAAGCGATGTTTCACATTATGAAAGACTTGTAAAAAAGACGAAATTACAGATTGAAGTAGATGATATTGGTCCTACTTCTATTTGTTCCGAGTGCCTCACTGAGCTGGACACAACAGTGACTTTCTTGGAAAAATGCGAGCGTTCTAATCGAGTGCTAGCAGCTACTTATGTGAGAGGATTTAATGATTACTCTAACTTCAGATTTGAGACTACTGGAGTGGAATATATTGAATACAGGGTAGTTGAGACTCCGGAGGAATCAAGTACACCGAGAGGTGAAGAGCAAAGCGAAGAACCAGTCGGAGGACTTCGTAGACACGTATCAAGTTGTTCCCAATGCGGTTCCAAACGGCGTTGTCGTCACAGAGCCCAGTCCTCTCACACATGCCAGTTTTGCTCTAAAGTATTTACTAGAAAATTCAATTTCCTGTTACATGTGTGAGTAATATAACTTTGTTGTCATTGTTTTATTAACATTGTTGTTGTTTTGATTATTACTTATTTTGGGTTTCGTTAACTATTTAAATTTAAGGACTTGCAGGTGTTTAGCCCACAGAGTCCTGATCACGGTGATGGGGCTGCCATCGTTGTGTCCGTGCCCACATTATTATATAACACTAGTTGCACTCGCCTGCTTTGCTGGGCACTTAAAATTAACATTATTATTTATTGTCATTATTATTAGGGAGTCCAACACTCATCTAAATTTTAGCCCATCCATTAAGTACATGTATTTTCTATACGGATACCAAGTTTCAAGTCAATCGGATGAATGGTTCAGTGGTTATAATGGAACATCCGTAAAAACCACTGTAGACTTATATATTAGTATAAATAATTTAACCTAACACATGCTACCTATACAAAAGAAAATTCAATATGTTATCACATACATTTTTATCATAGTGTATGTTTTTTATTTAATTTCATTAATTTAAAACTATACTTTTTTGTTTAACGCAGAACATTTGGTATAAAATATTAATTTTCAATATGTCTAGTATCTACATTTCACTATATTTACATTATCAGTGGTGAGGATAAGACAAAAGAGATCTACTATAGTAAGCAATTATAGTGCATGTGAATTTCAGCAAACGTCACTTAGGACAGCGTGATTGGACATGCCCGGGCTGTGGTGCATTACAATTGACACGTTGGCATGCTGAGCGCCACTGCAAGCCCAAGACACGCCACGTGTGCTCTGTCTTGGGTTGCGGTAAGATGTTCACAACAAAGACGAATCTCAACATTCATGTACGGACACACAATGGTGAGCTATGAAAAGACATTTATATAATTAAAATACAGTTCACTTATCGATTTCTCAATCTGACGCTCAAATAATGATAATAATGGTCTTTCTGGAAATAACATCATTATTAATTCAGCAACTATTCTCAATAAATTAAATGAGAATAGATTTAGTGCAATCATAGGCCAAATAATAAATTTTTGTGTACATTAGGTTTGACTAGGACTGGACTAGAGCTTGAAGAGGCTGGTTGTATAATTTGGTAAATAATGGTGCTTGTAGTTTGTTCCTACCCTCACGAAAAATAGAGCCAAGCTGTCCTTCTGATGATTATTTTTGTTTGCAGGTGAACGCCCCTTTGAGTGCAGCCACTGCAAAAAGACATTCACAAGCAAGAATACTTTAAAGGATCACATTAGGATTCACACGGGCAAGTAGAAAGTTGTAACGGACATATTAAACATGTAAACTAATTAGAAGATTGCCTACAGCATCCGTGCTGATAGTGAGGGCTGTCTTTGAGCTTCAGAGAGGCACTCGTTTTTAATCCACAGCGGGACTTTTTTTATATTCTGTCACATGATTTTATAAATAGATCTGAAGATTTTGAAATCGTCGTGGCCTACAGGATGAGCCTCCCGGTGCAAACTTGTACTATTAAAAATGAGACTAGAACTCATGTCTCAAAGTGCGGGGCGGCATTTACGTTGTAGATGTCTATGGGCTCGGGTAACCACTTAACACCACATGGACTGTGAGCTTGTTCACTCATCTAAGCAATAAACAAAAAAAAAGGTAATGACCATATTACATTATATCTGTAATTTATAACAACATGCACACACACATGATGCATGACACAAACATGATCATCAGTCCACACATGTCTGCTCCTGGGCAAAGGACATTCTAAATTTACTTTTTGAAGACCCCTAATTATATTTTCAAGTCGGTCATCAGACTCACTGTCATGCCCTCCCTGACCCTCCAGGAGAGAAACCGTACATGTGTCCCGTGTGCGGCCAGCAGTTCGCTACCAACAAGCTGTCGAGCCACATGTGGCGGCACCGCAGGCCCGGGCTCCGGCCCCGCGCTCCCCGGGCGCCGCCCCCCGCGCCCGTCGCCTGCTTGTACTGCGGCGCCAAGTACCACCATCGTCAGTCGCTCAACAAGCACGTAAAGAAGCAACATCAACAGGTAAGCGGCGACTAATATTGCGCATCATTGCGAATTGGGCAATATTATTGACTGTTTAGGGGTAATATTGCCGTTCATCGTTCTCGCCGAATCTGTCGCTTGTGACGAAGGGCTATTAACCCTCCGACACAGCCCACTGAGTTTCTCGCCGGATCTTCTCAGTGGGTCGCGTTTCCGATCCGGTGGTAGATTCTGCGAAGCACTGCTCTTGCTAGGGTTCGCGTTAGCATCTTCATCAGGTTTGAGCCCCGTGAGCTCACCTAATAGTTAAGGCGACGCTGATATGGCCCCTCAAGGCTAGGCTAGGAACAAAAAAAGAAGGTAATATTGAAGATTTGGCAAATGATTAAACAAAAGTTTGAGCTAGTTTAATTTTTATTGCATTATATTTTTTCAATGCGTTGTATAGGGCCAGTCTTGCGCAATATTTTTAGTCTGTGGTTCGCCTTGACAAAGAGTACACGCGCTGACTAAACACGAAAACATTTTGCAGTCCCTATTAATATGCCATATAATTGACCATTTAGATTCAGAGTATCTTTTAATCTTATTATACAATAAAATGTATAGTACAATGTTATTGTAAGTCTAGGGGCCACCTAATTTAAATTCAACAAAGATTTTATCTATTTTTTAAAATAAGTTCTAATGAAGCCGCCTCAACGATGCTGCGGCAGTGCGACCTAGCTACTTTGTTGTCCCTACGTATAACATTTCTGATAAATATATTCCAGAAGCCGGCGACACAAACCGACGCCGCCGGGGGCGAGGGGGCGGGGGCGGGGGTGGGGGGCGGTCCCAGCTGTAGCCGCGCACACCCGGGGCTGTCCATTAGTGCAGCCGCCGCAGAGAACTGATCTGGTCTATTGGCTAAGTCGGCGGCGCCACGTGAGGAGCATGTGTTTGAGATGGTCGCGAAACGTGTGGCTACTATTTAGACACGACAGTAATAGTCTATATCTTTAAAAACTATACGAAATAGCTTCGGTAAATTATACATAAATCACACACAAAAACTTTTAAATATATTAAATCTATAGAACTTCATTATTTAAGGCGTATATTACAATCGCCTTTGCCGAAGCTTTAAAATTTGAACATCTTGGTTTCCCATCGTCCCCGGACTACCAGGTGGCATGTTAGCCCCGGGGATCACTGGGGAGGCGGTGTAGCCCAGAGGCAACTGGATTCTCAAATATATTAAGTGTATAATCTATGAACTGGATCAGACTGTGATGCGCGCGCCGCGTACATCCTGGGCGGTGAGTGTTCGCGGCCAACAAGAGCGCACATTGTACACAGGTGTACTATGGCTCCTGCATATTTTGTTACCAACTCATCAATCATTTTATGAATTTAGAATCTTCTAAAATAACAAAATCTATGCAATTTGATCTGCCGCCGTTAGACATTCTGTGCATTTGGACAAAAAAATATTATTCATATGTCAATACAGATTGATTTGAATATAATCGTCTCCTTCAAAGAATACGGTTCAAACCCTGCATTAAATAAAGGTTAATACTTAACCTGTTATTTATCTAAGATGTCGTTCAGAACAGTTTTGTGACTGCCAATGGAATACAAAGTCAATAATTCGCTTTTCTGATTTACCAATAATTGTCCAAAAGTCACATTGCCCGCTTTGATAATAGTCGACTCATATATGTGTTGTATTTTATGGATCTCATATAAATAGCCAAATTGAAACAAATTACCAAAGAATTTGTATAAAATTAAACATGCTTTATTTGCATGTCATGTAATATTTGTAAANTGTTTTTGTTGCTTCCGAAGTCTGTTTTACTTTTTCCATAATATCATTCTTCCCCTGTTTTATAATGAAGCAATATACGTCGTACACAATTTTTCTACCCTTTCTTTTGAATACTACACCAGTTTGTCGCGGCATAGTATATGTTTTATAAAAAATCAACAAATAGCAATGGCAACAAAGTCCACAAGTAATTATAACAAAATATAACTTAACGATTAATAACGATAGACTTTAATAATATAATAACTTTCCACTGTACGCAAGCGTACTTTTGGGAGCAAACGGAATGAGGGCGCGGTGCGGGACGCAAGGTTCGACTGATCTACCAATAACGCGCTCGATACGATTTCCCCTGCCGTCGCGCCTCACCCTCACCACCAAAGTGATCTAAAATTCGGTTCTGCGCAGTCAAGGTCATTTGCTCACGATGTTTGCCGGTTACTATACAATGTTATTATAAGTCTAAGGGCCGCCTAATTTAAGTTCAACAAAGATTTTATCTATTTTTTAAAATAAGTTCTAATGAAGCCGCCTCAACGATGCTGCGGCAATGCGACTTGTTAATGAGTTGACTCTTCCTATAACATTTCTGATTAATATATTCCAGAAGCCGGCGACACAAACGGACGCCGCCGGGGGCGAGGGGGCGGGGGCGGGGGCGGGGGCGGGGGGCGGGGCCAGCTGTAGCCGCGCACACCCGGGGCTGTCCACTAGTGCAGCCGCCGCAGAGAACTGATCTGGTCTATAGGCTGAGCCGCGGGGATGTGCGAGTCGGCGGCGCCACGTGAGGAGCACGTTGAGATGGTCGCGAAACGTGTGGCTACTATTTAGACGCGACAGTAATAGTCTATATCTTTAAAAACTATACGAAGTAGCTTCGATAAATTATACATAAATCACACACAAAAACTTTTAAATATATTAAATCTATAGAACTTCATTATTCAAGGCGTATATTACAATCGCTTTTGCCGAAGCTTTAAAATTTGAACATCTTGGTTTCCCATCGTCCCCGGACTACCAGGTGGCTTGTTAGCCCCGGGGATCACCGGGGAGGCGGTGTAGCCCAGAGGCAACTGGATTCTCAAATATATTAAGTGTATAATCTATGAACTGGATCAGACTGTGATGCGCGCGCCGCGTACATCCTGGGCGGTGAGTGTTCGCGGCCAACAAGAGCGCACATTGTACACAAATGTACTATGGCTCCTGCATATTTTGTTACCAACTCATCAATCATTTTATGAATTTAGAATCTTCTAAAATAACAAAATATATGCAATTTGATCTGCCGCCGTTAGACGTTCGGCAACTCACATTTTACAATATAATATATAGAAGGCTATCTCTTTTATAGGAATAGCCAAAATCTTAGTTAAATAATACAAAAAGATATATATCGAACGCAACTGTCACGCGGCCCCCGCCTCGTGGTGACTCGAGATGTCGCCAGCAACAATTGCTAAAAAGTTATTCTTCTAATGGCGCGGCGTTCACACTTCCACGCAGCGAGAACAGACGCACAAGTGTGTACACAAGTGTCTGCGAGTGTAGACCAGACGAGTTGCGACTGCTCGGAACTAGATGGCGCCGGCGTCGCTCCGCGGCACAGGGGTCCGGCGCGTGCGGCCCGCGACACCATATTTAATATAATAATATATGTGTTGTATTTTATGGATCTCATATAAAAAGCCAAATTAAAACAAATTACCAAAGAATTTGTATAAAATTAAACATGCTTTATTTGTATGGCGTGTAATATTTGTAAAAAAAATATATATAATAGTTTAACTCTAAATTATATTTCTTGTACTATTTCAATGATAGATTAGACTACACTCAATACAAAAGAATGTATTGTAACTTTAGCACTGTAACAAAGTGAGCTATTATAGTCTTAGTTACTGGTAATGACACGAAGATGGGTTTCTTAATTGGAATATATTACATGCGGCGGTAATTAAAACCAATTTGAACGTAACATAATTGTCTTATGTTTAAATATATTTCGCACCTTTACAATTATAGAGACCCAACCCAAAAAAGGCTTTTTTTGGAAAACAACGAATAATATTTTCAAACTGGAAGGGGACCGATGGGTAGGTCCCTTTTAAGCCATTTTTGGTCATTTGATTGTTAAGAGTCGCTGAAAGGTCCATTTTTGAATTAAAGTCTAAATCTCTTACTGATGGTAGGACCTCTTGTGAGTCAACGCCGGTAGGTACCACCACCCCGCCTATTTCTGCCGTGAAGCAGTAATGCGTTTCGGTTCGAAGGGTAGGGTAGACGTTGTAACTATACTGACACCTTAGAACTTATATCTCAAGGTGGGCGGCGCATTTACGTCGTAGATGTCTATGGGCTCCAGTAACCACCTAACAACAGGTGGGCTGTGAGCTCGTCCACCCATTTAAGCAATAAAAGAAAAATCCTAAAATTTCAAAATGGGTCTCTATAATTCTAAAGATGCGATTTATTTAGTTGGTAAATTGTAAAAATTACTTGTATTTATGTATGTATGTACGTAGTAAAAACATGTAAACATGGACTATCTTTTTATTCGTAATTAAAATAAACGAGCTGTTTCAAACGTTAGCCGAGTCTCCGTCAGCCGACCGGTGTGGGACCACACACCCCGCGACTGAAGAATTAAGTACAAACCCTGTTGTCCTTTCACGGTGCAGTAACTAATGACAAATCGTCTTCTCGCATTAAAACTGTATAATCTCAAAACTTACTAATTTTACAGGAGAGTGTTTTAAAGGTTTAACATGTAATATTTTTAATATTAATCATCTTTGCAACATTTATTTTTTATCTTTTACCAGTTTTATTATATGTCTATTAAATTTAAAGTTTCTATTCTATTCTATTCTATATATTATATATTCTATTACATTTAAAGTAAGATAAAATTATGTATTAATTTTGTTAATAGTAGTCGAAACATAAATAAAGTAAAAAAGAAAAAACTAAAACTAAACTACGCTCTTTTGATTTTGTATTTATGAGAAAAATACTGGTGATACCAAATGATTCCGCATATTAACTCAGTTTCGAATATTTTTGGAAATTGTACACTTTTAATGCGAAAAGACGAAATATGTGTTACTAAAAGGGGTACGTCAGTCATCAACCGTCGTGTTAATCAATGGTTGGTCCGAATGATAAACCTGTTATCCTCTAGATCGATGAATGAATTCACGGTCCACTCGGTACTAAGTGCACATTCCAGTGTGACTGACACCTTGTATCTCGAAACACGAAGTCTCGTGAGATTTCAATTAATTGTATACATACGGCTGCCCCACCCTTCGAATCAAAACGCATCCTGCGGACAGAAACTCACACGTGCGGACTTAAAATATGTCCTTCCGCTAAAAATAGCTTCTAAGGTAGATAATAATATTATCTCCCGGTGAAGGTCAAGGGGCGACCTGAGAGGGCGAGTCCGCGCGCCACGCTACCAGCACTTTAGCGCGCTATCAAGAGAAAAAGCCTGGATACATTTGACATTCTAAATAATATTTATAAAGCGCTCCCCGAAATGATTCGATTCAGGTTAAGTCAGTGTGATATTCCCGCACCACCTTACTGGTGGTAGGACCTCTTGTGAGTCCGCACGGGTAGGTACCACCGCCCCGCCTATTTCTGCCGTGAAGCAGTAATGCGTTTCGGTTTGAAGGGTGGGGAAGCCGTTGTGACTATACTGAGACCTTAGAACTATATCTTAAGGTGTGTGGCGCATTTACGTTATAGATGTCTATGGGCTCCAGTAACCATCAGGTGGGCTGTGAGCTCGTCCACACATCTAAGCAATAAAAAAAAAAAAAAAAAACCCCACCCCTCCTGGCTGAGCCTTTGCTCGCCCACCTGTCCTGGTGAAACTGAAAGGAAACTGGAAGGCCTCCGGGCCACCAGTAATCTCTCAAATATATAAAAAAAAACGTACACACTCACACTTACACTCATTGAATCCTTAATTCGCAGTTACTAGAACCATCGTATGTATTTAAAATGTTGTTTGTGTATTTGAGAATTTGCAGAGTTGAATTTGAAGTACATGTTATGTATAATTCAAATTGAATAAAAGTGAAAACAAATGGTACACAGCGTACGCAAGTGAAAAAAGTATTGTGTGCTTCATAGTGACTATGACTTACTGTGGCTTACAGTCTGTTGTGAACTCATTATGCTTTATTAATTACTAGGCTACAGAAGGAAGGTTGTTCTTTTACTATTGATAGTGGTTACTGGTGGCTTTGATGGTGTTGTTACTGCTGTCCTAGGTAAATAAATGAGGTGTGTAAGTTCTCGAATTAATATTTAAACAGATTTTGTTTAAAGGCTTCGTCAAACAGAACGCGTAATTAGCGCGCGTCAGAGCGCTACGCTATGACGCCGAGATGTGTTGTACTACTATGGTAACATACCGTCAAACAGAGCGCCAGCGCTATAGCGCTTATAATTACTAATTACGCGTTCTGTTTGACGAAGGCTTTAGTTAATTGTTTAGCGCCTTCATCATAAGAGTCGTTCGTAAACGCATTTTTTTTTAATTATTGCTTTGATGGGTGGACGTGCTCACAGCCCACCTGGTGTTAAGTGGTTACTAGAGCCCATAGACATCTACAACGTAAATGCACCACCCACCTTGAGATATAAGTTCTAAGGTCTCAGTATAGTTACAACGGCTGCCCCACCCTTGAAACCGAAACGCATTACTGCTTCACGGCAGAAATAGCCGGGGCGGTGGTACCTACCCGTGCGGACTCACAAGAGGTCCTACCACCGGTAACATCAGCCTTCATCATGAGATTCGTTCGACACATAATAGGTGCGCGTTATTTTAGAGAAATTGGTAGGTCGGTTTGAACACCGGTATGCGGTTACGACGGATAAAAGTCCTTATAGATAATCGCCTAGGGTACTCGCATTCAGTGATTCTAGTTGAATACCGGTGTTCGCATGACGCAGACAGTTTTTGTAATGAAATATGTACTTCACTCATGCTCACCAATAACTTCTACGATGAAGGAATAACAGCATGCAATAAAAAGCAAATCCGCAAAAAACTAAACTATTATGCAATTGAAATCCAGATCTCACGTCTCAAAATGGGGACATTTGCACTTAATCTTACGTAGGTCGGAAGCTCGTTAACCCGTCTAACGAATAAAAAAGATGTGTGGTATCGTGGGACACCGGATAGGAACGAAGTACCATATTATAAAAATATTAATTTTGAGTTCTATTCGAGGTATAAAGAAAATAAAACTGGATGCTTCGCAACAACCCACGGTCATTCGGTAACTTGCGAACTTATTGTGGTACACTTCATTCACGGTTGTTTGCATAAGAGTTAGTGTATTGCGCAAACGAACGCTCTGAGATCGTGGTCAATGAATAATAAAAAAAAATGTACGTTATTACAAAGTTAAGTCGTACACTGTGTGCATTACTAATAAAAATCTTACGTTACGGACGTTTTTTCCCGGTTTGGGTACCCTCCGCATCGTCCCATAAGGAACTTCCTTCCAAAAAAGCGGGAATACAATTTATTTGTGTTATAGTCGTGTTTCTGATGTGCCGAGGACTTCGCTCCGCCTAACATTTGGCCGTCCACAGAGTAGCGCTCGTCTCGCATCTGTGACCGCGGCCTTGACCGCTACTAATTCGCATTGTCACGTTCGTAACACGATTTCACGAAACTCCACGTACCATACAAAAAAATATTTAGCACAATATTCAATGAGTAATGTAGTTTTTTTTTATGTTTGAGAAGTTACTAATGGCCCGGAGGCCTTTCCAGTTTTACCAGGACAGGTGGGCGAGCAAAGGTTCAGCCAGGAGGGGTGGGATTTGCTAACAGCTACCCGAGCGCCTCCGAAGGAGACTTAACGACTGAAGAGCAACCGCTTCGCTAATGAATTTACTACCGGATCGGAATCGCGGCCCGCTGAGAAGATCCGGCGAGAAACTCAGCGGGCTGATGTTTAGGTTAGGGAGTAATGTAGTGCACTGCGGTGTATTACAAATGTGGTTATCCATATTACGTTTTGGGCGAGAGGCTTGGGTCGCGTGTCTGCTNCGCCTCCGAAGGAGACTTAACGACTGAAGAGCAACCGCTTCGCTAATGAATTTACTACCGGATCGGAATCGCGGCCCGCTGAGAAGATCCGGCGAGAAACTCAGCGGGCTGATGTTTAGGTTAGGGAGTAATGTAGTGCACTGCGGTGTATTACAAATGTGGTTATCCATATTACGTTTTGGGCGAGAGGCTTGGGTCGCGTGTCTGCTCCGAACCAGTGGGTCTAGCGCGGCAGATGTTATGAGCTCCAAATTTGGAACCTAATATTAACTGTGCTGCGGAAATTCAAATATTCATATTTAAGTACCCAAATAGCGATTGAGCCTTTTTTTATTTAGAATTTTTTATTTAGATTAGCTTAGAAATATACACGAAAACTATTTCTTATGCAATCTTATCTACACAAAGATACTGATTACATAGAAAATACGCTATATCAATAAAAATGATGAAGTTACAATGTGATACACATTTTTTAATTCATATGTTTTAGAACTAAGGAATTGTAAATTTTACTAATAGACACAATCTAATGAATTTTTCGCCGGATCTTCTCTGTGGGTCGCGATAGGGGCTTAGGGGATTTAGTGTGGCTGTGAGGTCGTCCACCCATCTAAGCAATAAATAAATAAAAAGTTTCAAATTTTCATTGTATTACCTTTCCAACTTAACGACATGTTCGCGGTAGAAATAGTAGGTAAGTGGCTTTGATTTGCCTCGTTGGTCCATCCTGGTGAGTGACTGACTGCTGTACTATGATGTTTGAGTTTGATTCCCGGTCGGAGTCTGTATCTTCGTTCATGGTTTTGTATGATCGGGGTCTGATGTGCTTGTTTTTGTCTCGTAAATGTGTCCGACACCCGTGACACAAGATATAGCTTGAAGCCGTTGACTTGAGGCCGCACAATAGTATTTGCAAAGAAAAAATGGTGTCTTACTCAGGATCTGTGCGAGTAGGTACACTACACTGACTTTTGCTTAAAAAATTCACGTGTCTTCATTTGTGTTTGGAACTACATTTATCCAATTTATTTGAAACCTGATATAGCTATTGCTGATTTAGAGGATGTTTTTAATGAGTTTAGCGATAGTAGTTTAGATAGATACTGGTTGAAATTCAGCATCAATGGGTTGTCAGAATACCGGTATATCGCACGGTGGAGCCACCACGTGATTCGGCAACTGAATTTAGAATGAAATATAATTAAAAAAGATAACATTTCCTAGGTTTCAAACACTACAGTTTTCTCGGTTACGGTTGAAAAAAGTTCCCATTCCCGTCTTATAATACCTACTTAGTATGTGCGTGTCTTCAGGGGCTCGGCGACTTCAACTTATATCACCTGTCGTCTGCTGTAAATAATAAACCTTGAATAGTGCTTCTATGAGGTCAGATCAGCAGCGGACGGGGCGTGCTGACGGTGAATTGTGAATGCATGTGACTAATGAAATTGGGTGTCCTGAAGCGGGTAAATGAAAAATTTCCATGCTTAACGAACAATATTATGTAATGAAAAAAATGGCAGTCATATGGACTGCCGATAGAAGTGAAAGCTTATAACATAAAATTTTAGTAATACAATTTGAAATTTCATATTTAAATTTATATTATCAACAACTATCTGGTTTTCACATCCGTTGACGCTCGGAGCAACAATTACATACATGTTTATATGGTTTATTTATTGTTCAAATACATATATTATGGGCTGCACAAGATCGTGATAAAATATAAATACAATTTAACTGAAATAACAATTAATATAAAATCACTTTTTAATAAATCGTTTCAATTTAATTTGTAAAGAACAGCACTAATGTTGCACAATACGTCACTTGTATAGCTACAGATCAGATACAGTGCTATTACGCATGTCGGTGACGCGAATCCATAAGATTTTCTCNACATATATTATGGGCTGCACAAGATCGTGATAAAATATAAATACAATTTAACTGAAATAACAATTAATATAAAATCACTTTTTAATAAATCGTTTCAATTTAATTTGTAAAGAACAGCACTAATGTTGCACAATACGTCACTTGTATAGCTACAGATCAGATACAGTGCTATTACGCATGTCGGTGACGCGAATCCATAAGATTTTCTCCAAAATTGCTCAAAGCGGCTAAAGAAGTTTTCACTACAAAAATAAATCCCTTATTCTTTCTAAATTTGTGCTGGTATCTACTATTGATTAGTTTAATTTTTTTTAAGCAATAAGTAATCATGTATTCTATAAAAACTGTTTGAAATTTTATTTAAAGGGACCGGACCTTAAGATCCTTAGTATGTTTGGACGAAATGAGATTAAATGTAGAAGTAAATTGGTAACGAAATGGGTTATATTATGTAAAATGCGTAATATTTTCCAAAAATTCTTAATAGAGTGGCATATTGAATAAAAATCTTATTTATGCGAATCTTTTGTGCTTAATTTCGTATGATTTCTACTGTCGGCTGTACGTGACAACTGTGAACGATCCAGTTAACAATCTCTGGGGATGCAATTTTGTTGCAAAAACTTTGCCAACAACCTTGCGAATTGTGTAGCAATTAGGTCATTGCACTTGACGGAGCCGATGACGGTCGAACTCTTAGTTTTCCATCTGTCTCGGCGTGTCGACGGACCTTCACACAGTTACCCCACCCGGACGCACCGATACTTGACAAAATCTAATTTCATGGCCCGACAATTCGATTCGGTCTCTCGCCAATACCAATAATGAAATACATTTACGAAACTTTATTAAGAAACTTAAGTACAATTCTCTTACATAGTTCTAAATATAAAAAAATAATATTATCTCTCACATACAACTAGAAACATCACAGCTACACTTGTCATGCGTTTCGAAGAACATCGATGAAATTTTAAATCCGACAGGATAAATTTATACATAACAATATACAAAAATACAAAATGGTTGCGTAACGCTAGTTATTGATCACGAATTGATTACGTGCTTTTGTAAAGTCTTTTGAAATAAATAAATAATGATTATGGCGGGTGTTATCGGCGCGTCGGACTCAGGGCTTCCCATGCCTCACGGTTTTCCTGCGCAGCGTGGCGACGTCGGGCTGGGGGTCCTCCACTTGCACGTTGGTGGCGTGCACGTAGTTGTTTTGGTAGCCGGTCTCGTGCACCAAGGCGTTGGGGCTCAGCTTGTCGGAGCGCTCCCTCTCGTCGGCGCGCCCCTTGTCGCTGGCGCGTTCCCCGTCGACGGTGGAACGCTCGCTCTCGTCAGAGCGCTCAGAGCTGTCCGCCCTCCCCGAATCATCAGCTCGTCCGCTGTCGTCGTCTCTGTTGAATTCTTTAATCCTTTCAAGGTCTTCTCGCTGTCGCTCGTGATCGTCTAAAAAGTGTTCGTCCTCTGGGGCTTCGAGGCGGGCGAGATCTGCGTATTTGGTCGGCGGGGGTATCGTCAGTTCCATGTAGAGCTTTTCTTCGTCTGAAACTGGGATCTTTTTGCCGTAGTAGTCGTAGTCTCCGGCTGAATAGGCATCGTGCTCTTCTACAGAACGTGTTTTACGGTTCTGCTTGCGGCGTCTGCGCTTACGTTTCGTGGGCGGCTCGGTGCGCGGCTCCAGCCAGCTGTCCTCGCCGTTTGTATCGTTCTCATCATTGTTCACAATAAAATCAGAATTATCATCATTTTCTTCGCTTTCTCTTTCAGCTGATTCGGACGGTACGCGATGCAATTTTTTGGGACGTTTTTCCTTGTAGATCGGTGGAACGCGTACTGTGACGGTGTCGATTTGATTTGGATTGTGTTCAGTGGGAGGCAACACGCGCGGTCTTAGGGATTTCTTTGGATCTTCAGTGGTCGTAGTAGATTCGGCGTCATCCTCCGTCTCGGGCAGTGGGAGAGGAATTCGGTTTGACTTGGGGCGCTCTCGTTGTAAACTCTGCAGACGAACCTGTCCTCCAACGTCGCGGTCACCAAAGTGGACGTTTTGGTAATGGTTCTCGGGTAGTATCTGAGCCTGTGGTTTTCGCTGTTGCCTTTTCTTTTCCCAGAAACGGTCGACTGCGGTCCCGAACTCTGCGACAGCCTTCGCTCGGTCGCGCGACTCTTGCACGTCTTCGTAGTCGTCGTCTTGCTGTTGTTCGCTCTCGTCGGCGTACGCGGTGTAATCTTCATCGGCGGCTCGCTGGGGATCGAACTGGTTCGCATCGACAGTGTCCACTCGGCGAGCTATGCCGTTGCGGACCAAGAATGCATCTACGTAGACGCGCGGCTTGCGAGGCTCTTCTTGAGGTAATCTGGCCGCTTGAGGTTGAATGGCGATCGGTACGAGTGGCTCAAGGGGTGCGGCTTCTTCCTGTTCGGGTTCCGGCTCCGCTTCTTCTTCAGCCTCTGCAACAACGGGTGTGGGTGTGGCGGGACTTCTGTTGAAATTGAAATTAAGACGGAAGTTTGATGTGATCGTCTCAAGGTTGGAATCGGCTGCTTTTGGTGGTGGTGGCGGCGGCGGTGATTTCGGAGCCGGTGCACATGGTGATGGAGTGGTCGGATTGGCACGAGGCCGCGCACATGGTGGAGGTGGCGGTGGTGGAGGTGGTGGCGGCGGTGGTGGTGGAGGAGGACGTGGTTTTGGCTTTGGAGCCGCTCTGGGCCTAGGACAGGGTGGGACGGTTCTAGGCTTCGGCGGTGGTGGTGGTGGTGGTGGAGGTCTTTGCGCACGGCATGGCGGTGGACCTGCAGCCCGAGGAGCTCCACATGGAGGAGGAGCAGCAGGAGCCGGAGCCGCCACGGCGGGAGCAGCTGTAGCAGCGGCCTGCACCGGCGCGTCTATCCCGGGCACTGGCGCCAACGGGGGCGGAAATGCAACCGCCGGTGGTTTCCGCTGTACATTATACCCCAACACGTCAGCTAGCCCGCGGAACACTATGTCGCCGAATGTCCGTTTCTTACGAACCACGGGGTCGTGGTCGCCGTCCGTTTCAAGTAAGGTGTCGTTGCTGGCATCATTAAAGTCGGATAGGGTGTCGTTGGAGCCGGAGGGTGTGTCGTTATTGAGGTCGCTGTTGTCTTCGGCTTCGAAGGCGGCGAGGGCCGCGGCGAGGAGTAGCAGCAGCAGCAGCGGCGGCGCGGCGAGGCGCATGGCGCATTGTCGAGTGTCGCGCGGGAGGGCGGAGCGCGCGGTTTTGTCCGGCTGGTCGTTGCTCAAGTCGAGTCACGGTTCACTGGTCACAGTTCTTTGTATAAATACAACCTCTAACTCTGGAACCATCTAATTATCTTACACCACATATTAATGGAAATGTTATTATTATTTCATTAGTTCCAATTACTGTACTAGTAGAAATAGGACAATCAATATAATATGAATTTGGTATTAGTAATGTCGATGTAATCTATTCATGTGGTTTTCAGATCTAGTAAAGGAAGCACTTGGTGGTAGTCTGTACCATGTGGTCCATGCCACCCATAACCAAATCCTGCGGAGGAACGTCACATGTGGTCGCGATCCTCAGCAGTGAGGGAATGATATAGAAGAAGAATCTCGATGTACTTATTCTTATCTCGTATTCCCAGTATTAGGAAATCTAAGCTTGGGACAGTTGGGCGTGACACGACTGGTTCTAACAAGTATTAAGCTCTCGCATTAAGCAAACTGCAATTTAATTCTAGTGGTGAAATTATTTTTCTAAATTGCAATATCGGATACCTAAACACACTACACGTTTGTTAATGAAATAAGCACGTTTAATCTTCGAGGTCTAAGCCGGCCATGTGTACCTATTAATACCTAAGAAATTAACATTCCCAGTTTTCCTTCAGTGTAGACCAGGGGCTCCCAAACTTATTTCGTCTCCTGCCCACTGTGAGAACAATATTATTGTTTAGCGCCTCAATTTTTTCACCTACTTAAAAGCCACTATAGCGAGAGCTCAGTCGGTGTATAAGAGACCTCCTAGATGAAATTTCAAATCGCCTCCCAAGCCTCCATACAACGTCTTTTTTTTCGTGGTCTTTTACCACCCCTCTTTAGGCCTGGAGCGCCCACAAGGGGGCGTTATCGCCCACTTTGGAAAAGGCTGGTGTAGACGGACACATATTAATCATGTGATCAGAACAGGGTAGCACTGCACGTGTCGTGTGCAATGAAACATTGAAAACTACAATAATTGGTTAAAAAGCCGATTGAGCCACTATTGGATCCAGTATTAAAATATCTTATAATTTTAATGCGAAAATCAAAGCACATTAAGACGTTAATGCCTTAATAAATAACCTCATTTGATTACATCATGATGGTGGGAAGTGTCGCTCCAGACCGCTTTCTTTTTATTTATATATTTTACTAGCTGACCCGGCAGACTTCGTAATGCCTCAATCTATAAATAAAAGACCTAAGCTTTTGTATAAAATAAACTTAAAACAAACAAAAGGAAACTCGCAAACACATCAAAGGAAAAACAAAATTGTTATTTTTATTTATTTCCGAGCATTTTCATATTTATCTACCTTTTAAACCTTCTCTGGACTTCAACAAATAATTCAAGACCAAAATTAGACAAATCGGTCCAGCCGTTCTTGAGTTTTAGCGAGACTAACGAACAGCAATTCATTTTTAGATGTATAGATTTTTAAAGGTCCAGACCATTTCATTTTATTTATTTATATATTTTATTATTAACAATACAATAAGGTAATAAAAAAATAGAAACATATGTTATTTTAATTGAATACCTGCTTAATTATTTTCGTATACAAATCTTTATACCCTTTCACCATCGTGTATCTAATTTGATTTTTGCGACATCGCATAGAAATAAAAAGGAACTAACGAGGCAATCTTTATCAATTCTCGTTCTGTTATTGATAAGCGCTCGTGATCATTTAATACCGGATGGGCTGTGTGCTTGTCTGCGTATTTACAGCAGTAAAAATATCCAAACGCTCAGCAATGGAACTGTTTCCTCAGTGTCGGCTGAAAGTGTGCAACATTACTCCACCGATCTTTGTGTTACAGATTAAATAACGTCTCGCGGGACACGACCCGACCTCGCCACAATACAATTAGACAATTTATCGAAGTTATTTGTAATCTGTATTATTTGCTTTCGTTCGACACGACTAAAATATGAGAACCCAGTGGCTGTGCACTTGAAATTATTGAAAAACAATGTACTGGCAAGCTTAATGTCTAGAATTTGGATTCCAGTTGAATTATGGAGAGTAGAGATAAGAGCCACCATCTTGTATAGGGGACAAGTTAAAAAAGTGTCCACCTGTAAACACCAAATTATTGTTCTAAGACCCACCGAAATAGCGCTAGTGTAGGAAGTGGGAATTATATGAATATAGCAGTTTTGAACAGGGTGCTGGATGGAACTGAAGTGTGGTAGCTTATGGCAATTATGGCGCTGTTTTTTAAATCTTTCCACTTGCTACTATGGCGCCACTTTAATTTGCTTCCTTTCAGCGCACACTGTTGAATACACTGAGATGGTGCTCCTTACTTCTAATAAGGCGAATGACTGCGTCTAACATCTTGTCTAGTTCTGTAGTGACAAAGAGGAAAAGATTTATTAAATAAATAATAGTTGAAAGAAACTAACAAATTAAGCTTTTATAGAAAATCCAACTAAAAAATAGAAAATAAATTTTAATAAATTTGAATTAAAAATAGTGTAAGAAAAAATGATTTTATTGTAAAATAGCGTCGGGTGCTTTTCAGAATATTATCAAAATAACCCTTCTACTCGTATCTATTCATAAAATATTCATAGCTACCATGATACCATGCACCCCACGCTTTTTTTACAATAATTTTTTTACAAAAAAAAACAATAAATAAAAACAGAATTGTATCCTCGACACTAGACAACGCCCGCATTGAGTATTAGATTATTTATACTTAAAAGATTTTGCTATTATGTTACGTTCAGGCGTTAAGCTGATTTTAAACAATCACGTGTGGTGTTACTGTAATGATGTGGACTCATTATAAAAGTTAATCCACTTTTATCTTGTTACCATAATTGGCTCAACTGGATCAAAACTCATATAAGCCCTGTAATGCTGTATTAATATATATGTAAGTTCATTGTTAAGACGGTAAAAAAACAATGTTTGGATATATTTAAAGCTTTTACTCCACATAGAACGCCTGAAGGTTGATCAAACAGTCGTCGTGGCCTAAAGGATAAGACGTCCGGTGCATTCGTGTTGAGCGATGCACCGGTGTTCGAATCTCAGGCGGGTACCAATTTTTCTAATAAAATACTTACTCAACAAATGTTCAGGATTGACTTCCACGGTGAACCTCTTGTGAGTCCGCACGGGTAGGTACGACCACCCTGCCTATTTCTGCCGTGAAGCAGTAATGCGTTTCGGTTTGAAGAGTGTGGCAGCCGTCGTAACTATACTGAGACCTTAGAACTTATCTCTCAAGGTGGATGGCGCATTTACGTTGTAGATGTCTATGGGCTCCAGTAACCACTCAACACCAGGTGGGCTGTGAGCTCGTCCACCCATCTAAGCCACATAAAAAAAAATAAAAAAAAGAATGTATACTCCAGCTAAAATTGCCCACATGTCCTCAACCCACGTAAGTGCGTTTTATCAAAATTAAGCCCACCTATCATCGTCTGTTTCAGTTACAAACAAACCATTATAACGCAAGCTGCCTCGCCAATATTGCAAAAAGAAATTCCAGAAACAATTCTCAATACTCTTGTGGTTGTAAATTTCAATACGTTGCAAAGAAACTTCACGTCTTTTTTAGAACACAATGAATGCTCTATGTACTATATGCCAGGAAAGTAATATTAAAAAAATCTATTGTTTTATCGCGATTGTTGTTGAATATACTTATATAATATTATAGTTTGGGAATAAACTCGGCGGTGTAACTAGTCCCTGTGAAATTTAAATAGCACTAGCGCCCAACAAAAATACAAAAGGCTTTTAATATCACTCACAGTGCCTTACGTATTGCTATATGGGATTTGAGTTTGCGGTCCTCCTGGTAATGAGTGGTTTCAGACGCCCATAGACACAAGGCAACGGAATTCGTGGTAGATTTGGTCTGGATAGCAGCACTTGCCCACGCGCGCTCAAAGTACGTCCTAACTTCTGTAATATTATTAACTGACCTGGAACAATATCTCTTCTTCAACCCGTGCCCACCCAATACCGTGTGTAGGTATCTTTGAATGCACCCCATTCTCTTCGATCTCTTATCTTTCTCATACAATCCCTACCAACCACGTTTACCAGGTCATCGGTCCACCCAGTTGGCTGTCTGTCCACGTTACAACGTCCAGTACGAGGTCTCCACTCCAATACTTTTGTGCCGCATCGATTGTCAGTGCGACGGTATATGTGACCGGCCCACTTCCACTTTTTCCGAGCAATCACTTTGGCTATATCAGTCAAACCAGTTCTTCTGCGGATTTCGGTATTGCGCATTCTATCCCGTAGAGAAACGCCTAACATAGCCCGTTTCATGGCTCTTCAGTGAACAATATCAGTCATGACTATTTCTACAAATCCAGTTAGCAATTTCTTTGTAATTGGATTTTAATTGACCGGCCTTCAGCTAATTTATTTAGGTGTGTGTCGTCGGCCGTGGTGTAGCTCTCGAAGAACTACTAAATATTTAAGTGGATTAAGTACTATTTTGGTAATCACTTTATGACTGATCAGCACTCACCGGCGCGGTAACGTACCTACCGCTGGAGGCGTTTCGAATAGGTACACAAAATATAGTAGGTATTGCAGATATATTTTTGGAATATTAGTGAGAAAAAACCCAGCTTTATTTTAAGAAAATCACAAATTCGTATTCACTAAATTGACGGCAAGTCGAATCGACTGTAACAAGTTTCAGTTTCCTAGGTGATCGGGAAGTGCCGCAAAAATCACTGCAAAAAGATGTCGGTTTTTGGTGTCATTTCTCATTTTATAATTAAAGTTCTCTGACTGTAGCCACTGAACTTTACGTTGGTAACCCTCTAATCGTGGCGCTTCTAGTTAGAAGTTCAGTTGACTTCCTGAATCAAGTGTCGGCGGAACGCAAACTGTCGCCCTAAACATGGCGTGTCGAATCCTCCGGATCCAGTCTAGGTGCTTTTCGGTACTCCAAGCGTC